TGTGTCAACATATTTTGAAGGCTTTCTCAAAAATAGCAATACTGATTTTCCTTCCTTCTTAACCAAATTATACCGAATATGAGGGAGCTTTTATTGATGATCCAAGGTCATTTTTAAACCAATTACTATTCACAGTCCTCAGAGCCTGTGTTCCTACTCTAAATGTTACCAGATTAGTCTTTTTCTTTAAGTTTTCTTCTTTGATACCAAGCTGTCCATTACTGCTTGTTACTGTCAACAAGTCTCCTTTTACCAGTTTTCTTCCTCTCTTTTATCTGTTATTTTTAATCTGTTGGTGAAAGTTTATTAGAATTTCATTTAAAATAGAGCAATCTCTAACTGGGGACTTGAGGAACTGTGCCATGAATAGAGCTTTGGTGTATGGAAGCTATGAAAATCTATAGTTTTCTTCAGGCTTTGTTTACTTTCAGGCTCCTGACCATTTGGATAGTGATACTGTTAATATACTACAAACCTAATGGAAATAACATCACAGATCGATCATACTGTTTGTAATAGCCTTTGATTTGGTTTTCTTACTTTTACTCACACCTCTCCACAAATTATCCAAAGTGATACCTTAAAAATGGTAATTTGATCATATAACTTCTCTGCTTAAAATCTTCCTGTGGTCTCCTCATACTTGAAATAAATCCAGGTATTTTTCCCCCTTGGCCTGCATGGCCTTACATGACCTGGCCTTGGGTCCCTCACCTCACCCACCTCATTTGTCACCTCTCTTTCTCTTGCTCATTGGGATTTCTTGCTGTTCCTCAGCCAGGTAAAAGACTCTCATCTCAGAGGTTGGACATCTGCTATTTCTTTATCCTGGCACTCTTTCTCTGCTTGGAATTCTTCATTTCCTTCAGGCCTCTTTTCAAATTTCACCTCCTCAGAGAGGCCTTCATGAGCATGCAATTCAATATAGTATCCCTTTGTGACTCTGCATTTCCTTAACCTGTTTCATTTTCTTCAGAGTACTTCTAACATCTGAAATGATCTTATACATGTGTTTATTGTCTATCAGCCCTCCAAGAAGGTAAACTCCATGAAAGCAGTGGTTTTGCTTTATTCATGAATACATTTCCTGAGTACAGAAGAAGAATGTCTGGAGAGGCTTAACAAATAGTTTTTGAGAGAATGATTTAAGTTACTTAAGTTCCATTGCAATCCTAAAAGGCAGACATTATTGAATGCCATTTTATAGGTGAACAAACTGAATCTTAAAGAAGTTAAATAAACTTACCCCAAACCCAAAGTTGCTAACTATTGAAAGCAGGAGAGTTGGAAGCAAGGGAGTAGGACATGTCTTGTGTTAGCCCTGACTGACATCTGAGTAATTTAGATATGATCACTGACGGTACTTGGGTATTTTAAATATACAAGTAGCAAAACTAATTTGAGAACAAATTGCATGTGAGAGAAAAGAAAAATGTTACTGTAAAAGTTTTTATTTTCATAAGGAAGAACATTTGTAACCTGATGGCTAGGTACTTGAGGCTCACGTGGAAACACATCATGTGCCTAAATATGACTCAATTCTCCCAAACCTTGAGCCCTGAGGCTGCCGGGAGTAGAAACAGGTGCATCAGTGTCAGAGCAACTCTTCTGGCAGTGCCCAGGGAGGCAGGGACTGAATGGGGTCCTTGCAACTATCACAGCAACTTGGCCAAGAGGCTTAGTATCTGCAGTGAGGCAGTTCTTTCAGAGACACTTTGGTGTATAAGTCAGTCATAAATCCATTGATTATAAATTGAACACTACCTGCCACTAGCATGGTTTCAAGTATCCTGTAAGCAAGAAAAACAAAAAATGGGAAACTATGAAGAAAAAAATTGAGACAGTATTAGATGGGGTAACCACTAAGATATGACACCCAGTTCCTCCTTTAAGGATGGACTTGTTGCCCAGCTGTGGACAGTGTGATCAGCAGACTGCCTCCAGCTGTTAGCTCCTTCAGGCTCTGCTTTAGCTGGAGGGAGCTGCCATGCTTGAAGTCACATCCTTCCCAGAGCAGCCCACATGCAGGGACTGAGAGATGTGTAGGTAAAAAGGCCTATTTACTTTGGCTGAATCTAGGACATTCTGACAGACAATACTAGCTCCAGAGCTCCCTCTGGGTTGCCCAAGTTTTATCAGGGCTGCACTACAGTACTACAGTTTCTTCCCCAGCTTCTCTGCCCTTCCTTTCACAGGTGTGGATCCCTAGATATATCTTGCACTTCAAATCCCTTTCAACATCTGCTTGTGCAGAGCCCAATCTGTGACATTAGGTTTATTCATTCAGCTGACAAAATGTCTCTATTGTTACACTAGAACTATTATAAAAGGATCTGGTTATCCAGTAATACCAATCACGGTCCCTGAACTCACAGGGGTTATCACCTAGAGAGGGTAGCAAATATTAAAAAGAAAAATTATAGGACGTTGGTACTTTGAGATAGGAGTCTGCCAACTTCCTCTCTGCTGGCGAATTAATAAATTCCTCTTTGTTTCTCCTCCAAAAAGTATTAAAAATTAAAAAAAATACATATTAACACTAAGTACCATTAGAGTCTATGAAAAAAACTGAGCCCTCCTAATACTGACAACTGTATTAGCTAGCATATACGTAAAGTACTGTGTTTTCATGTTAAGATTATGACAATACGGGCACCTATTTATGAGTTCACTCTGCTATCAAAATAATATAACAAAATTGTTAGTATAACAAAATCTTGTTGACCTTATTTACTCAATCCTTTCAAATCTGAAACCTAAAACAACCATTCGGTTACTTACGAATGTCCTTATCAAACTAGATCACTGGTAAAATGAAAGACTGCATATAGGCTTTTGGTTTAAAGAAGGCAAATGTAGACTCTCACTAATAGTGATCTGTTTTTACCTGCCCAGAATCTACCCTTCTTATAAGAGCACCACTGTTTCCTGTGGTGAACAGTCTCCTTTAGGTTCATGCAGTATACATGAGTATCATTCACATTTGAGTAACTGACATAAGTATTTTCTATACCCTAGTCATAGTGACTGCTTTGGGAATGTGCATATAAAATATAAGGCAGACCAATAATAGTGAGCTCCTGCACTATTAGCAAGAGGATCTCATGCCAGTGGGATCAGAAAGCTGGCAGAATATAAGCTTCCAGCTTCTGGTGGCCATCATTCTGCTTGAGAATGAAGCCAACTTAGAATAATATTGATAACAGTAATGGAAAGCACTACTAAATTCTACTTCCCATGTGTCTGGTACTGTTGTAATATCTTTATATATACTAAGTATATAATCCTTACAATGTTTACATGTACAGAGATTCATTCAGCACATTGTCCCAGGTTACAAATGAGTGCACAAGTGGTATTTAAATGCCAGCGGAGGCCATGTCCTACATGCCACGAATATTGCTCATCACAAAAATGGGAGCAGAGGAATAGAGCCTGTTTCAAAGTAAACCATTTGAGCACCTACATCCAGAATGGGCCTATAGTATCCACCTAGACTCTGCATTTAATTAAGTCAATAAATTATTTTTCCTTTTGCAAAATCAGTCTGAATTGTGTTTATATCATGGGAACTGAAAGAGTCCTGATTACACTCTAAATTCATTATTGCATTATTTATAATAAAAAGAATCTAAATGCCCTAGTATGATGGACAGTTAAATACATGATAGGAATATATCATATAACCATTAAAAAATATTTTTGAAGAATATTTATACACATGATAAACTACTTTTTAAAACAACAAAACTGCATATTCATTATACCAATTTTGTTAATCAGAAATGTGCAACACAATGACTGAAATGAAATATATCAGAATATTGTGATCTCTGTTAAAAACAATTATGAGAAACTATTTTTGAAGTGTTTAAGTTTTCTACAACAATGTAGAATTTTTGAAGTTTTCTAAAATAATGTTTCGAAATTAGAGGAGGAAAAAAGGGCAAACTTTTAAAGATGTGGAATACTGTTAACTCTCAAACTACAAAATTCCTTGGGTATCTTATTCTAAATTGAACCTAAATTAAACTTATAGTCCACTCAATCACAGAATGTAAACTCCTGAAGGTAACTTTCTTTTTCCTGTTTTATTCATTGTTCTATCCCTAGTGGTTACATTAGTACCTTAAGTGCTTACTGAATGAGGTGAACAGAAAAATGAACTGGCAATGTATTTCTGCCATATTAAATAATTTTATTTTCCTAGCAAGATGTTTATTACATAAGAAGTAGGTTTTTCAAAACATTCTAGTTAAGACTTGAGATAAATCACTGCTCAAGCTAATTCTACACCAGTTTAAGAGTTTTAAAAAAGTAACATATTGATATTGTGATTTTACCTGTGTAATAATCAGTTGAAAGTAAACAGCCTTGATTATCTATCCTATGGCTAACTTTAACTCCATGTGAATTACTTCTAACTTTTTTATATCAAAGTACAATATATTTTATTTTGTATCTTGGTTTATTCTCAAAGCACAAAAATCTAGAATTGGTGCAAAATAGGTGCTATTATTTTAGTGAAATAACTTAAACAGTCCAAATATTTTTCATACTACTGTTATGTAGCAAAAGGTTCATTTGTAAGCTTTTAAATGAAAAATGCAAAGAAAAGGAGTGAACTATAGAGAATTATCTTGATATGTATTACTCTATTATTACTATGTTACACACCTCAATGTTTCATAAAACTATCAATATACTTGCCGAGAATGTAAGTTCTGAATCAAAGGCTAGAGAAAGAGACCTGTATACAGTGTTTTTCATATTGTCCTTAATTGTCCCAGGCCTCATTTCTAAACTGCCTTAAGCAATTTTTACTTTCTGCACATAAGAAGCCAACTGTGAAGGGGTCTGACAACTGAAGACTGAACCCCTTAAAAATCAGCATAAGAAAAAAGCATAAAATCACAACTGAGGCATCAGATCTTAAGGTTTAAAACGGTGTTGTAAGATCATGACATTAAATCATCTCTGAAAATAAATACACATTCACCCCACAGTCTCCCAAATCTTTCTTTAGAGTCCGACCTCTTTCTAGGAAGTAGTAAAATGAAGGAATGTTCTTAGTCATGTGACAAAAGCTCTCCATTATTCTTGACATTAAAAATTTAATGCTATTATTTAAAAAGCATAATATATTAATATTTACATAACATATTTAGAATTATGTGGTTTCCAGTGATTAGAATTTAGTCATGCCTGGAAAGGAACAGAATACATTGGCTGAGAAGCACATGCCTTATAAAAGATACCTAAATGGTACACTTAGGATGACCAATATTAATGACTTAAACATACTATATTTTCCCTTAGAGGGAACAATTTTAGTTTCTAAAGAGCATTCACTTCTGACATCTCGATCCCTGATTTCAGTGGCTGCAGACTGTGTACCTCTGTGCCACACTTAGGACAAGTGAAGTACATGTCAAATAAGAAATTACTCTTAACACAGTAATAACAGAAGATATGCTGACATCCTATGGTGTGAGGCATGGTGGGCCACTCTCCACATAGAGAACATTCTTTGCCACTGGTGACTAATGTATCATCACTATTAGGAGCACCAGTGAAAGGGATACACCATGAAGATAACTTGGCTTTCAACTTCTGGATATTGATAAGTGGTAAGAGAAAAATCAGAAATTCAGCAAAACCATGCCAGAGAAGTTCCCTATTCATATACTCAAAGCCAACTTCGCGTATGTTTTGAGGCTTACAAAATACAGAACGAATGCCTAGGAGACGTTCTGTCAAAGTTGCAAACTTTCCTCTTTGAAGGAAAATCAAAAAATTAATCAAACTACCTAATTTCAAAAGTCCAACCACAAAATTCACACACTGCTTGACTTTCCCAAATGATGCTAAACGATGGTTTCGAAACAAATCATAGCATCTCTCTTCTAACCACCTCCCACCAATTGTACAAACAGCATACCAGATCTTTTGATTTTTACTTGGTGGCTGGTATCTCTGGTTAGGGGAAAAATCGTTTTTGTACTGAATATTCAAAACTGACTGTCCCACAGTGGCATTTTTGGAGTAGATGGTGAATCTCCACAAGAAAAGCCACAAGAATGCTTTCACCTCTGGTTCAAAGCAGGTTAACAGGCCTGGCTTAAATCCATGAAAGCACTGAGTAAACTGGGACCAAACCAGCTGCTCCAGGGCCTTATTTAGTTCAAGTGCATCCAACTGACTTATTCTTAGCACTCTGTTTATACTCTTCGTATTCTCTTTTCTGGGAGCCATGTCTTCTCTGAAGGTTTCTAGGAAAAAATACAATTAAGAAACATCATCAAACAGTTGCAATCTTGTACTACCTCCTCAATTTACACTGGGAAAATTGTGATACACATATTACACAGGACACATAGAAAATGGGCCTCTCGGTAGACTGTAAATAGTACAGAGAACAATTGCTTCGTACTTGGAACTTCTTTCTCTCTCTCCTCTCTTTTTCCTTTCTTTGTCCCCCCGCCCTTTTTCTTTTCCATTTCTTTTTCTTTTTTTTTCTTGGCCCTCCTCATAAAAGGGGTAACAACGAAACAAATAAAAAATAAAAAACACCCAAATCCCTATACCCTATTTCCACAAAAATACTATTAAGTAACATTCTTTGATCAGATATTCTAGCAGGGAGATATTAAAATCCTGAAGCTACCAGTAATGAGGCCAAATAATAGCATGACTAATGGAGAAATATATGCATGTAATAAATATAATGAACAATACAGAACATTGTAGTAGATAGTTAAGTCAAGACCTCAGTTTAATTTCCAGCACTTCTACTGACTCCAAAGGTATGTTTTTCAACAAGTCACTTAATCTTTCTCAAATAAATTTTATATTTATAAAGGAAGTTAGAAAGAAAAATAAATGAACAATATACATTTATTATTCTATCACACTATTGCAGAAAATAAATACTACTAAAGCTTAGCATGAAGCAACAAGAATGCAGAAAGGCCATTATTAAGCTACTAAAAATGTACACATCATACAATACTCCAGGAAAATAAAACTATGATATAAAAATTTGTCCTACAGTAACTTCATAAATATACTAAGGAAACAAACAGCTGCTTAAGGAAAAAATTTTAAATGAAACATAAAAAGCTGATTAATGGTTAGCTAGGTATGACCAATATACATTTATTAAATGCTTATTATATGCAAGCTCATGCAGTTAAAGCATCCAGTCATTGCTATAGTTGATTATACAGACCAGTTTAGATACTTTCATTGTTATTAATGAACTGGCAAATCCAACCTATGACCAAATATCATGCTTAAATTTTATTTCTAAAATGGGCCTTCTGTATGATCTCACTTATATGTGGAATCTAAAAAAGCTGAACTCACAGAAGCAGAGAGTAAAACAATGGTTGCTACGGGATGTGGATGTAGTAGAAGTAGAGAGATATTGGTCAAAGGATACAAATTTCAGTTATGAGTAAGTCCTGGGGCGCTAATGTATAGCATGCTGACTATAGTTAATTTTTTATTTGGAATTTGCTAACAGTACATCTTAAGTGTCCTGACCTCCCCACTAGTCGCACCCCCCACCCCCACACGGGGGAAGTAACTATGGGGGGTGATCAATGTGTTAATTAATTTGGTTGTGGCAGTCATTTCACCATGTATACATATATGAAATCATCTATGTTGTATATTTTGAACAAACACAATTTTTATTTGTCAATTATACCTGCATAAAGATGGGGAAAAACACAAAAAAATAAAATAGGCCCTCAACAACATACAAAGCTTGAGCATGGTCTCTAGACCTTCGAAAGGCACAACACACTACCAGAGCAAGGTGTGGATCCTGCTGAAGTTCACTGCCACCAGCTGGCCATGTGATATTGATAAGTCACTTCACCTGATCTCTACCTTGGCTCTTCACTTACAAAACAAAGGGCTAGAAAGAAAATGACCTTCAAATTTCTTTCAAATTCTATTACTTCAAGATTTTTCATAAAAAGATGTTAAACGTAATTTGCTAGAAGGTAAAAGGACTGAAAAGTGCATCCTAAAATAAACTTGTACTTCTTAAAATTGGGAACATCTTTTGACAATAGAAGATGTTTTCAAGAGGGAAGTTTTAAAATTACCCATGGATCCTAGATGACTCAGTGACAGAAGACTACATGTTTATCAAGTTCAAGTAGAGGAAATGAAAATGCCCACTGACTAATAGGTTGTTTACTGCTGTTTTCTTCTCAAATCAAATATGTGACAGGAATGCATCTCATCCATAAATGTCAACCACCTTCTGGGGAGATCTTACCTTTTTCCCCTTCCTGCTGCTCCCCCAAGACTTGACAGTCTACAGCTATGGCAGTGGGAATTTTTGCTGCCAGTTCTGTGAAATCCTTGCCTCATACTTGTCAGGAGCTACAGAAAAGAAAGAAGGGGGTTAGAAAGAAAATTACCTTTTTTCACGACTAATCTAATCCATTGCCAAGGACTGTTGATTCTTTGTTCAAAATATTTTTCTAATTCATTTATCACTCTCTATCCCCCCACAAGCCTGTTCCTAAATTCTCCTATTCTCCTTTCTCCCCTAGACTACATCTAATTGGTCTATCTACCTTTTGCTTCCTTCAGTGCATCCCCACACTGCAGTCGTTCTAAAACACAAACCTCCCCAGATCTATTCCCAGCTTGCTTTCCTTCCTAATACATCACTACCTAGTCATAAAGTGCCACCTTCTCTTGTTCACCAGTGGACTTTACTATCTGTTCCCTTTGCACGAAACATCATGTTACCATTCTTTAACTGAAAAACTCATACTAAATTTTTAAGTACTGGCTCAGACAACACTTCCTCCAGACTCTCCAAATTTGGTTAGCTGCCCCTCTTCTAGTTGTTCTCTTAGCATTCTATTCTTTTTCTGTCTTGCTCTCTATGTGCTTTATATAAACTACTTTTTAATTGTCTATTTCCTCCCCTAGAAGATAAGCACTGTTGTAAAGATTATTTAAGTCTTATCATTGTTGAATCATAGCAACAATAGCAGTTCCTAATATACAGAAGACATTCTACAAGTACTAAATGAATGGATAAATGAACAGGATGAAAGTGTGAGATGTGTGAAGGTTAGAAAATTTAAATTTCCATCCATTAACTTGTAAAACTATTTCAAATTACCATATCCAGAATACTGAGTGTCACTTATTTCAACGTATTTGTTGTGCATCTGTTATTTACCAATTAATGTGTTAGAGCCAGTGATATAATGGTACAAGAGACACAGTCTCAACCCTTGTGGAGCCTACGATCTCCTGGGGAAGCAGGGGGAGGAAAGTAAGGGTGTGCTTTATAAAATAAATAGGCAATTGCAGTAAGATGTGATAAGTGATATACAAGGGGAAATTCAGGGCACTGTGCTTACAAGTATGCTCCAGAAGGTCAGAGAAGGCTTCCAGGGAGAGGCACTATTCTAAGCAGCCACCTGATGGATTAGCAGTGTCATCCTGATAAAGGAAGGTAAAAATATTCCAAGTTGAGGGAGGTAGCATGTGCCAAGGACTGGAGGTGCCCAGACAAGAAATAAGGCTGGAAAGTAAAGCAGGAAACAGATCACAAAGGCCCTAAAAGCCAAGTTGAGGAGGCTAATATCAAGAAGGAATGGGGAACCACCGAACAGTCATAGTCAAAGAACTAATCAGATTTGCATTTTAGACTGCTTGTTGTGGCCATCCTGAGTTAGAGGCTGAGAGAAAGACTGGAGGAATAGAGACCAGTTAAGAGGTTAAAATGATCTAGTGAGAAACTAATGATGATCTAAAATAGACAAGTATCAGTGGGCATGGAGAGAAAAAGGTATATTTGAAAGCTATGAGGTGGTAGAATTGATACGACTTGGTGAGAAATAAGCAGGGAATAACTGACTTAAGTAACTGATAGTGATCCAGTTCTCTGAAACAGGAAATACATGAGGCAATATAGGTTTGAAGGAAAAAATAAATTCATGCAATTTTAGAGATTTGAGGCTCCTATGAGACATTTAAGTGGAAAAGTTCAGCAGGTAGTTATATGAATATGGGAGAGAAAATCTCGGTGGAAATGTTAGTCTGATGCTGCTCTGATAAGACTAATTAATCTGTTTTAAATATACTTTATCTACTTAAATGCTAAAATCAGGAAGGCGGTAATTTAAACAAGACAGGTAGATCCTGTCTATTGATAACACATTCAACTTTTTTTTAACAACATAATCTTGTTCTCATAGTTTTCTATTGATACATAGATACATGTATCTTTAAAATAGATAAGACACATATCATACATGTATCTATGTATCTTTGGGCTTTGAATCATTCTATGCTGTGGTCTTCAGCATCACAGTCCTGTGGTCTCACTGTTCCTCTAACCTAGCAGTTTTCAAACTGAAGAGTTCATGAGAATCTCTTAAAAATACAGGCATACCTCGGAGGTATTGTGGATTAGGTTCCACGCTGCTGCAATAAAGCGAATATTGCAACAAAGTGAGTCACACAAATTTTGTTTCCCAGTGCATTATGAAAATTATGTTTACACTATACTGTAGTGTATTAAGTGTGCAATAGCATTATGTCTAAAAATGTACACACTTTAATTAAAAACACTTTATTGCTAAAAATGCTAATGATCATATGAGCCTTCAGTGAGTAATCTTTTTACCAGTGGAGGGTCTTGCCTCAATGTTGATGGCTGCTGACTGATCAGGGTCATGGTTGCTGAAGGTTGGGGTAGCTGGAGCAATTTCTTAAAATAAGACAATAATGAGGTCTGCCACATGGATTAACTACTCCTCTCATAAAAGATTTCTCTGTAGCATGTGATGCTGCTGGATAGCATTTTACCCACAGAACTTCTTTCAAAATTGAGAGTCAATCCTCTCAAACCCTGCCACTATTTTATCAACTAAGTTTATGTAATATCTAAATCATTTGTTGTGATTTCAATAATGATCGCAGTATCTTCACCAGGAGAAGATTTCATCTTAAGAAACCACTTTATTTGCTCATCCATAATCAACTCTTTATCTGTTCAAGTTTTACATGATACTATAGCAACTGAGTCAAATCTTCAAGGTCCATTTCTGATTCTATTAATAGTTCCTCTTGCTATTTCTACCATGTCCGCAGTTAGTTCTTCCACTGAAGTTTTGAATACCTCAAAGTCATCTATGAGGGCTGGAATCAACTTCTTCCAAACATCTGTTTGTGTTGATATTTTGACCTGTTCCTATGAATCACCAATATTCTTAATGTCATCTAGAATGGTGAATCCTTTCCAGAAGGTTTTCAACTTACTTTGCTCAGATTCATCAGAGGAATTACTATCTATAGCAGCTATAGCCTTACAAAATGTATTTCTTAAATAATAAGACTTCAAAGTCAAAATTACTCCTTGATCCATTGGCTGCAGAATAGATGTTATGTTAGTAGGCATGAAAACATCGATCTCTTTGTATATCTCAATCTGAGCTCTTGGTTGACTAGACACATTGTCAATGAGCAGTAATATTTTGAAAGAAATCTTTTTTTCTGAGAAGTAGATCTCAACAATGGGCTTAAAATATTCAGTACATCATCCTGTGAATGTATGTGCTGACATCCAGGCTTTGTTGTTCCCTTCATAAAGCAAAGGCAGAGTATATTTAGCACAATTCTTAAGGGCTCTAGGATGTTCTGAATGGTAAATGACCACTGGCTTCAACCTAAAGTCACCAGCTGTATTAGCCCCTAACAAGAGAGTCAGCTTGTTCTTTGAAACTTTGAACTGAGGCATTTACTTCTCTTTTGCTATGGAAGTCCTAGATGGCATCTTTTTCCAATAGAAGGCTCTTTTGTCTACATTGACAAACTGTTGTTTAGTTTAGCCACCTTCATCAATTATCTTAGCTAGAGCTTCTGGATAACCCACTGCAGCTTCTACATCAGCACTTGCTGTTTCACCTTGCACTTCTACATTAAGCGGATGGCTTCTTTCCTTGAACTTTACAAATCGACCTATGCTAGCTTCAAACATTTCTTCTGGAGTTTCTTCACTTCTCTCTGCCTTCACAGAATTGAAGAGTATTAAGGGCTTGCTCTGGATTAGGCCTTGGCTCAAGGGAATCCTCTGGCTGGCTAGTAGTTTGATCTTCTATCCAGACTACTAAAACTTTCTCCACATGAGCAACAGGCTGTTTTGCTTTCTTATCATTCATGTGTTCACTGGAATAGCAGTTAATTTCCTTCAAGAACTTTTCCTTTGCATCACAACCTGGCTCTGTCTGGCACAAGAGGCCTAGCTTTTGGCCTGTCTTGGCTTTGGACATACCTTCCTGACTAAGCTTAATCATTTCCAGCTTCTGATTTAAAGTGAGAGATGTATGACTCTTCATTTCATTTGAACATTTCTGGAGGTCACTGTAGAGTTATTAATTGGCCTAATTTCAATATTGTTGCTTCTCAGGAATAGGGAGGCCCAAGCAGAGGAAGAGAGACAAGAGAATGGCCAGTTGGTGGAGCAGTCAGAATACACATAGTATTGATTACGTTTGCTGTATTATATGGGTGCAGTTTTTGGCACCCCAAAACAATTACAATACTAACACGAAAGATCGTTACACAAAGATTATCATTAAAGATATAATAATAATAAAAAAATGTTTGAAATACTGCAAGAATTACCAAAATGTCACACAGAGACACAAAGTGAGCACATGCTCTTGGAAAAATTGTACTGATAGAACTGTCTGACTCAGGGTTGAAATAAACCTTCAGTTTGTGAGGCAAAGTCATAACATGTAACCAAAATGTTTGTACCCCTGTGGTATCCTGAAAAAAACAAAATACAAAGAACAAAAAAACTCAAGCAAACAAACAAAAATAGTATTTGTGAAGTGCAATAAAGGGAAGCACAATAAAATAAGGCGTGCCTATACTTATCAGGTTGCTGGGCCTAATCCCCAGAATCTGATTCAGTAGGTATGGAGTGGGACCCAAAAACGTACATTTCTAACAAATTCCCTAGTGATGTTGAAAACTATTAGGGTAGTCGATTTCAAAGCAAAAGTCATCATTTATTTTGCACATCACCCATACAGTTCAATGCTACATGCCAGCCCTCCAAATCTTTTCTGGTTAGTTCTCATCCCTATATCTACAGAGGCTATTACAAATCTTCACTGACTCAGGGTTTCTCTTTCATTTATTAAGTAGTCTTTGTGAAATTTGAGACCATTCATTCATTCCACAAATGCTTGGAGTATAAGTATATAACTCCTAGCCATACTAGGTGCTTGACATGCAGAGAAGACATCTCTTGCTCTCATTCAAGAATTCCAACTAAAGTCTAGAAAAAGAGGCAGGCAAATAAACAGACAACTAGAACAATAACAGAGGTATATGGTATTGAA